GATGGTGTGCTATAGTTCTGCCTCTGGTGATGTATTTCTGAAAATCAAACTCCTGCAAGTCATCATGACCTGCAGAATGTGTTTCAGACTCATGCATTACAGTATAAGAGCGCCACCTGCTGGGGAACATCATCAACTACAGCCTCTCCAAACACTGATGATACTGACAAATCATGTTAAATCCTGCAATCTTTCTTTATAAACTACTCTATTAATATCAGTTATAATATAAACTTCTGGCTAAATATTCCCAAAGCTGACAGCAAATAAACTGCTACCCTGAAATTAGGGGAGGGCGATATGGCAAAAACATCTTTTTTTTTAACAATTTAATTTAATTTATAGATAAAGTTAAATAATTTGTAATATTTATATTTATAATTAATAGATAAAGTTAAGTAATTTGTAAATTTTTTAAAAATATATAAATGCCTAAAGATAATAATAATAATACTTTATATATATATATATATATACATAAATAATAGTAGATCAATTACATCATACTAATAAATTATTCTTAATGACATAATAAATTATTTTAATTATAAATATAAAGAAAAATTATCTCTTTCTAATTAAGTTTGCAAAACACTTAACAGCAGATTATTTGGTGCACTTCATGGAATAACTGGCTGTCTATTAATTTTTTGTTGTTGTTGTTGATGTTTCGCGTGTCGTAATTCTCCGAGTTTAAGCGCAGCAACAAACTAGAACAATTCATTTCTTAAGACACAGAAATATGTGAATCTTTAAAATAGAGTCTTGTCTAAGGGAGTTTTGTCCGAAACACACACACACACACACACACACACACACACATTTTAGTATAAAACAACAACTTATTTTAGTCATAATGACTAATAACTGCAGATCATAGTCGAATACACTGACTTTTTTATTGTCTTTTGTATTAAAAGTAAGCTTGGTGGGAAACTGTTCATTAAAACATTAACTATTTTAAGAGTTTCCACCTAAATAGCATTCAGAATATAAAGAAGCATAACAAAAATTAAATAATAAGTGCATTGTATCATTTTATAGATAGCCTTCCAAAAACATAAAAATACAAAAATACTGTTGGAAAGTCCAAAAACATCTCTTATGCAAAATGTTTATGATTATTATGTGCAGAGTAATCAAAAGCGAAAGCACAGGGGGGAACTAAAAGAAAGTAACTGATGTGTTGTGGTGAAAATAAAATGCAAACCTCACAGTTTTATGTTGAAACTGCAAATAATAAATGTTATAATTAATGCTAATTGTAAAAACAAATTGCATGAGGTATTGCACAAAACCCCTCTCCAGGCGTGTCAGTGAAAACGGCTTAAGAATACAAAAATCACAATTTTATGTTAACATTGCATATATATATATATATATATAAATGGTAGTAAAAAAAAATGCATGTGAAATTGAAAAAGTTTTAGTAAAATTAAACTGCTTATTTCATGTTGAAATTGTAAATCAATAACAAAAACATTTATTAAAAGTCAATTAATGATAATAATAATAATAATAACTGCACCAAATCCCACCTGCAGGCAGAAGATTAAAATAAGGAGTTGTCTTAATAAAGTTCCACTAGCGTGCATACCATGCAGAGTATCCCGAATGAAGTTCTTTCTCTGATTTCTTCTTTGTAAAGGCAAACGCAAATCTAAACTGTTGAGAATGTCGTCGGGTAAAAGTCACGTGGGAAGGAAAGATGATCCAGTGATGCAGTACCTCCTCAATCACTAGGGATGGGCGATGCCACTTATTTTGTTTTCGATACGATACTGATATTTTTCAAGGCAGTATCGTCGATATCGATACGATACTTCTGAACTAAACTTTTAAATTATGAAATGTATTAAATTACTAAGAGTAAAATGGGTAATCATAACCACTTAACTTTGTTTAAAACACATTTTAACATTCAATATGCCTTAATTGTAACTTATTAGGTTATCTTCTTGTTTACACATGGTTCAAATATGTTTTTTGTTTACACATGATTCGAATCTACAAATCCTACAGTTGAACTACGGTTCATTTTCATAAAGGACTGCCAGTGACAGGCTGTTGCATGCATAAAATGCAACCTTTTTTGACAGTGTATGATTTCTATTAATATGATCAATATTATCTTTCAACGTTCAATTTCAATAAATGTAATTGCACAAACTATGTAGGCTAATTTCAATTTGTTTATTGTGAAATAACTCAAACATATATGTTTTTTTTCTTCTGTCCTCTGATAAGCATTGTTCAGGGCTGCCGTTCCCAAAAGCTTTAATGCTGTCTTATGATACTTTTGGGAAACGCAGCCCTGTTTGAATGCAGTGTCAGCAGTGAGTGAACGCTCTCTGTGATGGATTGGTTCAGATGAGCAGGAAAATAGTTCTATCCTACACAATTATTTACTAACATAGGTTATTCGTCCAATTAAATGCCTTATTTATTTGTTAAATAAACAAAATCACTGGTAAATAAAACGC